ACCCGTCGGCCTCTGAACTTGCTTGCAAGCAGGATCAGCACGGATCCCGGGGCGATGTTCTTCTTTAGCTTGGGAGTCTTCTTTTCCACCGTCTTCTTCACGCCTTTGGGGCCCACCTTCTTGTTGCTGTACTTCTTCTGCCTGGTTCGCTGCTGGCCTGCCTGACCCATGGCTGCGGAGCTGTGCTCTGCACTCGCAGGGGATGTAACCTGATCCGAGAGGGCCGGACCAGCACGCTGACACGACAAGGCTCAGAAGACTTGGACGCAACATATATGGACCGAATAAATGCAAGCCTGACAAGTGTCCTAACCGGCCGAACTGGAAACATCGCAGGAAACCAAATTTGTTCCACCTTGGAACGGCCACTGCCTGCTAGTTCGTCCACCCACGCAGCTTCGCGCGAGTGCATCAAATGCAGGGCGGGAGGTCGTGCTTGGAGTAGCCAGCGAGCTGGACAGCTCGGCAAGTTGCCATGATTGAACTGAAGTCATATGTGAACTGACGCTGGTTCGGACATTCAGGAACGGCAAGATCTGCGGTCAAGCCCTTGGCTCCAAATCCAAGCACGATATGTACAGACCACGCTTTCCCATTTAGGATGCTTGTGGTCATGACTTCGTTAACATGGGAGACGCCGAGCGAAGCCTCAATGAAATGAGCGAGACAAGGCTTGCACCGTCTGTTGCCACCCTGGCCATGGAAATCCAAACATCCAACCTCTCTAAACTCCAGACCTCCTCTGCTCGAGCACATTTCTGCATTAGGCCTCAGTCGCTGGCGCCGGGACTAGCTAAGATCTAAAGGGCCCACTTCTGCATCCGGGGTTCTATCCCTTCTTGGCCATTGCCGGTCCTCTGCTCACTTGGGCAGCGCCTGACAACGCGCTCGGACTTTCCGCAACCCTCAGATGATCTGCGTCGCAGACAAGACACCCGGGACACACCTGCTTCACTTTTGGTCCGCAGAGGAAGGTCTCGAGGTGCTTTGCGAAGGTGTTAGGATCCATGATGCCCTGAATCGCACAAGGCATTAGGCCCAACTCTTTGCATCGCATTGCTTCGCTCCTCACGATGCGCAGAACGGCAGTGCCTGGTCCAAGCAGAAGATGCTGGGAGGCGAGGCCGCCCCCAGGCCTAAGATGTTTGCATTCATGGAAGACCGGTTTTTCGAGGAGACTGATAGATAGGCGCACTTAGGCGTTACCGCGAAGGATCCGAGGCGCCATAGTCCCACGGCTCCTCATTCTCATCTTGGCTTTGGCCCTGCAACATTGCCAGTTCCGCGCAGCAGGCAGACAAGGCTATGATCCTAAAGAACTGCCTTCACTGACCGCATGCTACGATTCAGCAAGACCCCAACTCCCGCTAGATTTCATGAAACAGGCTGAAACATGCACCGCAGAAGAATATGAAAGGTGCCTCCACCACTCTCTGTCGGGATCTGAGAAGTCCCACCACACGAGCAAGTGCCTTCATGCCATCCGTGTGAAACCAGGTGAGATTCACTTCGGTCTTTCTAGTCACCTAGTCGTTTCGTGCAGGGTCTGGAGTTGAACCAATTGAACCCGTCTGAAGCTGTGAGTCTCAGGCCCTACCAGGGGCCCTGTCCTCGAGAAACTCCACGAAGACCAGCTCCAAGGAGCCTGGGCGCACACTGGCCAGAGCACCCACAAGCACGCAGCGATCGCAAGACTAGCCAAGATGGAGAAAGAGGCGTACCTCAGCGCCAGCTAGGACACAACTAGAGTAAGCTCAGGGTCCATTGACAACCTCAATCACAACAGTAATTGAGGTCAAAACCTCAAGGCAAGAATCAGACGTTGACAACAATCATAAGAAATTATTTAATGTGAACAGCATTGCCATCGTCAACACATGCATTGCACTGTCACGGCCGTGGGTCGGGCGGGTGCTCGTGAGTTCGTCCATCTGCGTGATGGAGGCGCTCTGCCATGCCCATGCCTGGCTGCGGCTCAGGCTTTGGAGTCCCGGGTGCGGCCCTGCTTGAATTCAGATTGATGTTTCACCCGCGGGTTGCAGGGCATGACTCTATGATGGTGCAAGAGGGGGTCCAGCTTCGGAAACAGGTCCCGACAACTACCGTTCTGCGAGCTGGCGTCCGGACCCTGTCCCAGGCGTTCATCTGGGCATTTTCAGCTGATGGTGTGCAAGGCATCACCTCGAAGGAGTCACGTTGTGTCGTGCACAGACGCAGACAGAGTTTGTACAGAAGGCTCGGCGAAGCAGGGACTGTAATTGGGACTAAATGCCATCAACAGTCTCTTGTTGCGATGGGCCTCCATGCAGTCGAGCATGCGAAACCAGTCCTGCACCCAGCATGTGAGAAAGCCGACATGTGCCGCTCAGCTTTCTGCTGAGTCCTCTGTGCTGAGGCGTTTCTTCGGCGAGGCGAAGGCCGAGAACAGCGGATCGATGACTGCCTGAAGCCACAGAGCTTGGGCCACACCGAGCACATCTGCGCACCTTGCGGGAAGACACCCCGAGCCTTCATGTGCTTTCGGTAAATTCCCTCCACCTGCTCGGAGTGCAGAACGGTTTCCCTCCACTGCCTGAGCTGGGACAGTGTAACTTACGTGCCCCCAAATTCGTGTAGCAATGACATGCAACCAGTCGCCATGCTGGCATGCCTATGGAGTTGAAGCAAGTTGCAAGCACCGGAAGTTGTTCTTCATAGGGGCGTAGGGGTACCTTTCGCCAGGAATGGGGAAGAGTTGCACTTCACTGATACGAGTATGAGAGGCTTTCTTCACACATTCAGCGATTGGTATGAATCGCCACGCACTCTGACGCACTCTCTTGACTCTTGACTCCACATCCAGACCATGATCATGCAATCCCTTTTGGGACACAAGAGATGCTTCGTCATGAGGTAGTAGAGAGCTCGGCGAACTTGGTCAGTCTTTTCCTGAGGATGTACGATAGATTGCACGCTCGCACACAATGGCACCACTTGGCACCACAATGCGCCCGCAGAGGCGGCAGTGTTGCATGTTGCCACTCCGTCGCTCACAAAGTATCAAATCGAGATGTATCAAACAGACACGGCAGCAACGTCGAGTGTCCACTCCTACTTACTTGTAACATACATGGACAACCCGTTAGTTTGAGACATGCAAGCCCCTGCTCTGCATGGACAACATACCGTGAAAGACTCCCCTGTTCAACCTTACGATTCGTACGCGCCTTCGATGTCCCTCGAGACTCGTTCCCGCGGGCGAAGCCTGAATCCCATGCCAGGGCTCAAGATGTCAAGAACTCTCGGAAGCACTGCGAAGTACTCTCAATTACTCTCAGACTCAAGGGGCAAACAGGTCACAGGCATGTCGGCATATCCGGGCGTTGTGAACATTTGCAATTTGGATTGGCATGTTGCGCTGTCTGCGCACTGGAGCAGGAAAGGTCAAAACCAAGCACCGCACAAATGGCCAATCTGACGAGGAGCCTGGCAAGGCCGCACATTCCTGCGACTGCCTGCGTGGCTTCTAGCTACCTGCTGCAACAGACTAGCTGAGTCGGCAGCTCAGTGATGAAACATGCATGGACAACAGACTTCAAGCACTGGGGGGACGTGTGGTCGAAAAATGTGGCATGCGTCCCATGATGCGATCAAAACTCGAACAGACAAAAGCTGAGGACGACACTCGAAGAAGCCATGTCTCTGGACGATTCGGCCCTCACGGAAACTTGTGCATTGTCAATCAAAGCTAAGAGGTCGAAATGAGACTACAGCCACGGGAACACACGTTCAGTGCGAAGAGGTCCCACTATCAATGGCGCCGGATCCCATGTAACGACAATTGAAACTTCCATTGTAGAAGCCCAATAAACCAACAAACCCGGCAAAATGGCGGAATGCCTCCGTGCAGAACTCCTCGAGCATCTTTTTCGTGTCCTCGCGGCAGGCTGCAAGCAGCACATGCAAGGCTGCTTGACATCACATTGGCCAATCGACGATTCGATGAAGCAACGGAATGCCGAGTGACCTCAGTTCTCAGATGCTGGTCCTTGGGAGGTAGGGCGGAGGCGATGAACAGTGCATCTGCCTCCTTCAGGGAGAGGTCCTCGAGAAAAGGACCACAACTTGAGTTGTCGTACTTGGTGCTATGCCCCTCTGACTGCCTGGACGGTCGCTGTGGGTAGGAACGGCTCCAGACTAGACGTCTAGCAACCTGGGCATCCGACCTGCCCGATCAAGTTGTGCTGCACGAGCCTGAAGTTCTCAAAGCAGAACGGTGTCACTGGGCCACAGTGACCCTACCCTACCGGCCCTTTCTTCGGCTGTGCCACTGCACACCACACGAGCCCTGCACATGTGAGTGAACTCGAAGGGGCCGATACCAAAAGCAAGTCGCTTCGGCTCCTGACCAGACAGGCGCATGCGATTGCCGACCAAACGGCAGCTCTACAGCAGCTTCGGTCTCGCAGCCGCAAGCCGTCCACAGAGCTGGAGATCTTCCGAAATGATGGAGCGAAACATCCCTCAGTGCCATCCTTGCCATGAAGCACACTCCAGTCCACCGAGCACAAGGAGCTGTAGAGCACCTGCAACGCTTCGCGTCACGAGGAACTTCGTGGCCACTGCCCAGCCTTCATCTCTGCGTACTTGCTCCGTAGAAGATCCCGAATACCTGCTCGCTCCACCTGTGGAGATTGGGGAGATTGTCAACACGGTATCCGTTACGGTGGCTGTTGGGATCAGCTAGAGGCTAGCGGCCACCAAGGCTCCCAGTTGCGTCCAGAACATCACAGAACAACAACAAGGCAGTGCCTCGTCCGGCACGAGGCGCCAGATTTTCGACAAGTGCCAGTCGGCATCCAAACACCTTTCGCCTCAGCTCACACGGCCGCCTGCACCTACATCTTCCTTCCGTTCACCGCTCTAGTCAATGATGGCGACAACCCACACTGAAAGCATGCTCGGCACATCTGCCGTCATCCAGCTTACTTCCGGGCTGAGCTCCGTGCAGAACTGCTTGGAGGTCAGGGGCTGGCAAGTCAGGTTCTCAGGGAGCTGCTACTGTTTGCCTTTGCCTCGTGTTTACATCTTTCCAATGTGAGCCTCGAAGTGCGGGGCGAAGAGTGAATTCTCGATGTTCCATGCCTGTCAGAGGGGGTTTCATGTGCGGTCTTGGAAGCTCTGCGAAACAAGTCGCGTCTGTACAGGTGGCCGTGGCTGCCACACTCCGCCTGGCGTGGGCCGGTGCTGGACGTGAGCTCGCCCGGCAGCCGAGGAATGTAGACCGTGCACACTGGCCTGGCTGTGGTCCGAGTACAAGCCCACCGAATCATCGATGCGCACAGACAGAACAGGCCAGAACCACTCGTCTGCGGGTCGCGCCACCACCATGATCGTGCTGAAGGTGTCTACATCCACATCGAGAGGAGCAGAATCGGCCTCGGTACGAACCCTGGACATTGGCCTACATGAGAAGGGATCTACATCAGCAGAACGGGAGCTAGGTAGATACTAGTCATTGCTAGTCGCAAGCCGAGACGCAGCCGGCGAAGTCGCTTCATCGTCTTCCTCCAAGAGTGCTTGACTTCCATTGGTAAAAGTCTCCGGGCCGCGACATCCTACTGCAGGCTCGACCATGGGGCCATGCCGCCTCACCCGGCAGACGCGCGCGCCTGAGACGAAGTGCCGGACCTTGGGTCCAGGATGCCCAGAGCCATCTAGATCCAACTTGTAAACGGAATCCCGAGCTGCTACGCAGTCGCCCGGGGCACCAGCCATCCTTGCCCAGCACAGGCGAAATACCTGGCACCCACGACTGCTGGAAGCTGAAGGCGCGGAAACACAGCATAGCGGCACAGCCCGAAGACACGGCAAGCCAAGACGGCGAGGCTGGTGGAGGAGTAAACGCCCAGTCCACCCTTCATGGCAGCAACCATCTCCCGAAGGTCCACCTGGCGACGTGAGGGATGCGACTCCTCGCGGAAAAGGGTGTGGGCAAACTGCGGGCCTCTGGCGCCGTTCGCGAGCAAAGAAGCGATGTCCCGGCTTGGAAGACACAGCGGAGGGGCCTTCCGCGACACGTTCTGAAGCAAACAAGAGATCCGGTTGAGTGGGCCAGGGCTCCAGCCCCGGGGCAGCCATGACGTAGGTCACGAACTCCTTTTTTTGTCCACACACAGGTCGTCTTCTCAGCTCCTTTTTCGGCCCGCCCCGGCCGCACCTCGCCCATGCGTTGAAGCTTGAGCGGCGTGGTGAAGCCGTCGATCGAGGTAAACACCTCAGAACACAGTCTCAATAGCATTCGCAACTCTCGGAGCTGCGATGCCTGGCATCTGAGGGCCCAGCCCAAACATCCGAAACGTCAGGCCCAGAAATGCCCGGCACGTAGCTGAGCCTGGTCGCCCCTTTAAGTGCACCGAAACGGCGGCGACACTGCGGCATCATGGAGGAAGTTTAACGGCTGAAGGCGGCTAACAACTTGCTTTTGCCACATGTTGCCGCCTTGTCTCGCGCCAGCGATTGCACACCCAGCAGTTGCAGTCCTTCCAAAGAAGCTGCAGCTCACGCAGCACATCAACTGCTCTCGCTGCGGCTGTGGCCCTTGTATTGTAGCTCAAGTTCAGGCACAGTCACACTACCATATAACACTGCTGCGTGCTGCTGAGGACGTCCGAACAAAATGCCTCCTCCTCCATCGCCAGCGAGGCCTTGCTGACACCCTGCAGCTCCTGACATCTAAATCACCGAAAGCGCAATCGCGTCGCAATCGCCAAGACAAGAGAACGCAAACGAGCAGGGGCTGCTTTGCATTTTTCACTGCCAAGACGAGACTGTTGCCCATCTCGAAGGCTCTACTTAAAGCAGGCCAGGGTGCACACGCCCCTGGACTGTTTTGGCGAGGGCTGGAGAGTTCGACGTGAGGTTCAAACAACTCTGTCACGGACCGCCAGCTCTCTGTGTGGGGATGCGGAAACAGGAGACACAACATGTCGCAGTCCGTCTTAATCTTTGGGGCCTGGCCCTGATGATCTATGGAATTGCTGCTACTGCTCCTCTTTCCCAATTCCCTGAAGCTCACACATGTACAATCGTCTCAGCGGCCGCATGCTTTGCAGTGGCAAAGCCGACTCTGCTCGCATCCCGGTCGAAGATGCTGTAGTACTTGCGGAGGAATGGGTCACCCAAAATCCACCTCAGACATGATATAGCAATATTTTGCACTTCTGGCTCGGGTTCCTGGATCCCACGACGTCCAAATCTGTGTTTGGGTGTTTGGCTCCTGGTGCATGCCAAGCAGCAGGCCGGGGACACCGGCAGAGACGCCTCTCGGAAATTTTTCTCACAAAAATTGAAGTTACAGCCACCCCTTACTGGGTCCCTTCCTAGCTTTAACTTACACAGCTGACAGATTCAGAAGGCGTTTCCAAAAGAAAGCGCGCAACTGAGGCCTTGGGGGATATTGTAATTTAGCTGGGTGGTAATTCAAGAGGTCCCAAAGATGTGCGTGAACATTTTGCTAGGGGAACGGAAAAGTCTACCAAAGTGTCACCTAGATAAATTTGGAGGGACTGTATTACCCATTGTTCAGACCTCTATGTCTTCTTTCACTTGGAAGTGGTGCGAGCTCAGCTTTTACGCTTGGAAGGGTCGGCTTTGAAGTTGCCTTGAATGCCAAGCTCGCACTCGTCTGCACCGTTGTCATCTGCACCCCGCAGCACGTAGAAGTCTGGCTCCAGGCTGAAGTCCTTTGGGCTGGGAGCGGCTGGGAGGGGCTCAGAGCCAGAATGCGAGGAGCTGGCCTTGCCCGCCAGAGTGAAGGTCAGCGTCGGGAGGGACTTCACATTCGAGCAGTCGCTTGCAAGGTGGCCGATCGTCTGGTTGATCTTGATGAACCTGGGGGATTTGTCAAGCCCAAGAAGGCCTCAGGCGCAGCTCCTCGCGCATAGGCAGCCAAGGAGCTGCAGGGGAGGCACTGCAATCACAGAGGTGCCAGTGTCAACGACCTCAGGTCCACGCCTTAAAATCCCTAGCATATACCAATCCTTCGGTAAAGCTCCGGGCCATTGGGCAGCCGATGATGGGAGTACTGCATGCAAGCGATTCTCCCTTCACTGCGAAGTTGTCTGCCTGCATACGAGCATTGGCAAACCGCGGCATACGATGTCTAACGGTCTGCAACCACTGCCTTCACGAGCCAGTAGCCCAACATCTTCTGGTAGAAAGTGTTTGGCACCCACGTGATCTCGCCACCTCGCCACAGTAGCAAGCAAAACTCGACTCAGGACAACATCCCACTCTGAAATATCGACACTTGCCGCCGCTCCATAACGACCCAGAAGGACAACTCTGCCCCTAGGCCACCCGAAACCTGGAGCCAGAGTCTCTGATAACGTTCTGAATCAAGGCTTCCCATGGAATGAAGTTGAGCAAACCTTGGCCCAAGGTCAGGCAAAGGCACTAAAGAGCGACTTGTCGTAGCCACCCAGGGTCAGCTTGGAGCCGTCGCAGCTCTCGGATCCGCCGTGGCTGCTAGGAGGCCTCTCAGGAGGGAAAGGGCTTCGGTTCTTTTCCAGGAGGCTGCCCGGAACAACCGGGGTACCTTCTAAATTCTAAATTCTGTACCATTGCACATACGTGCGCGTGCAGTACGTAACGACAACGACACTCTGAGCACGAAACACTCCCTGGAAAAGCTGACCCGATGCATCCGAAAAGGATACCGGGATACATAAACTTGTGGAGCCCGCAATCGGCAGATCGGCAACACCGGTATGACAGTGCTATTCGTGGCCGGTATCAGACTCACCCCGGACTGAAACCTACAAACCCTGAGCCCTCTGAACCGCTTCGGCGCAAATATGCAGCTCTGAGCGGGGAATCCGTTACACGGCAGCGTTTGACGCACCCTCGAAGCCGATACCGGCAGCTACCGGATATCTTCGGAATGCCGAGGAGCCAAGGGAGGCCGGCCCTCTTGTCGAAGTCTTCGCTAGCAGCTATAGCTGTTAGGGCACCGCGCAGAATGGAAGGGGCCGTTGTAGTCCGCTTTTTTAGTGGGTAATGGCCTCTGTCGATTGGTCGGGGGCTCGGTTGGGAACTGAAAACTTGACGGAACCTGCAGGTGGACAGGAAGAAGGAGAACATCCCCTGCTTGACCAGCTTGTTCTTCCTGTGGCAGGAGCTTTAGGTTAGGTCAGAACGCTCTCTCTGCGCACTTTGCAAGTCCGAGTGTCATCATCACATCGAAGGGCGGGAGCACTGGGTTGTTGGGATCTGCTGGCATGGCAATCTGCGGATAGGCGAGGCCAAGGATTCCATCGAAAGGGCTCTCCACCTGAGAATCTGTGGCGACAGCTGAAAGGCCATGGATTTCCAGTGCTGTCTGAGCACCCAGATCTGCCCCGGCTCCAGTACGATTGAACCCACGGTGGCATTGCTCAAATCCTGAGCTGCAACGGAGTCAGGAAGTGCAGCCCGAAGCGAAGCTCGGACCTTGCCAAGTGTCAATGCCGCCCACATTCACGTTGTCGGCGATCAAGGTCCCGGCGCACACCTAATGAAATCACATTCCACCACTTTCATTCCGAAGGACCGTGTTGCGGAAAGCAAAGGAAGCTGTTCTTGTCCAGATGCTCCCGACCCATAAGGCAAGATCAACTTGCGCCCGTCTGGCTGGTACCTCAGCTGAAAGAAACCGTGTGACCGCACCTGCCTTGCGTCGTACCACCTGCAGGAGAGCCACGTGCTGGACTTGCTAGCGTCATAGCGGTTGTGCGTGCTGCAGGATTTCTTGGCTTTCGACAGGTTTGGCATGGTGCTCCTAGCCGCCCTTACAAGCACAACAGCACCCCCGGGCCCCCGCGACACCAGAACACCTGACAACAGCAAAGCTCAGGTCCAGCTTCTGAAATGCACTTCGCACTCGGCACCCAGAGGTTTGAGGAGCCAGTGTCGTAAATCACCTGAGCTGTCTGGCATGCAGCACTGCTACACACTGCCTGGTGACAGAATGGCTTGGAGCAAATACCTAATCTCAGCGAGCCGTAGTGGCACAGTTTCGGTGCTGAAGCATTGCCCCGATGTAAGCCCAAGTCTTGAACCTTTCCCAGGCTCACAACAAGAAAGCCCTCCGTCTGTACGGTGGCTGAAACGAGGGTAAAGTAAAGCCACATGTAGCTACCAAAGCTACCGCCGGCTCGTGGTGAAGTTTTGAGCTGTCTTTACCTTGCCCTCCTGTCGCATGTCTCGGCCGCACTTCCGATGCAGGGCACACGGTTTATTCCGAGAGGCCGTGAACTGCTGCCCGGGCGTTCCAATGGACACAGGTCCATAGTATTCCGAGTCCTGCGCGGGTAAATTGATCTCCACGCACGACTTTCTGCCACCACTGCTTTGAATCGAAATGCAGACATGTCCAGCCTGGTAGTCCTTGATCTGGACGTATGGCAGCACATTCCCTGATCAAGGTCAAAGCGCAGGAAGCCAAGACATCGGCAAGATCCGTGTTCACATGCTGGGCTGAGTGCACAGGAAGGAATGCATGCGACCTCCTCAAAGGAGAACTCTAAGTCACCTTATTGACAGGAGGGGGGCTTGGACTCCTCCTGAAAACTCGATAAACGAAGTAACTTGGATGCTTGTTTCGACGTCTACGCTTGTGACCATCTCTGGACCGTAGATACTGGAAACTGCAAAATAATTAATTAGGGAAAGCTTTGGGAGAATTTTGGGAGAATCTAGAGAGAAATTAGGGAGAGCTGTGGCCAACTATGCGAGAAATTAGCAAGCAAGTAGCAAGCAAATGGTAAGCAATTAGCAAGCAAATAGCAAGCAAGTAGCGAGCAATTTGCGGGTGATTTGAGATGACGAAGCTAGCGCTGATCCCGAAGTAGCCCTCAACGTCAGGACATGGGGATGGGCGGGGGAAGGAGAGGCAACGGTGGGGCACCGGCTGGTTTCGAAAGGACTCGCTAATTTCTCCCCAATTTATCGCTAGTTGTTCGCTAATTTATATAGAAATCCTACTAAATTAGCGAGAAATTAGCGAAAAATTAGGGAGAAATTAGCGAGAAATTAGCGAGAGCGCCTTCCTCCTCCCCTCCTCCTCTCCCTTCCCCCTCCCTTCCCTCTGCCCTCCCCTCCTCCCCTCCCCGCCCCTCCCCTCACCTGCTCGCTAATTTCTGGCTGATTTCTCACTAATTTCTCGCTAAAAGTTCGCAAACTCAAAGTAGTCAATGCGACATGCTGGCAAAGTAGTCGCAAAATAATCCCTGCGAAATCTCATTTTGATCACTAATAAATCGCAAACGAAACAAGCTAAATCGCTAATCAGCTCGCCAAATAATCGCAAGGAAATCTCTAATTAATTGTTTGGTGGTGGTCTCAGTCTGTACAGGGTCTGAAGGTCACAAGTCTACGCCTGATCTTTTCAACCATTCGACAGGTAACCCGAGCTCGAAACCGCTCCGGATATCGTCATATCTCAATTTATGTAGTCTGGATGTTAGATTTTCCCTTTCGCGCAGGTTTCCGTTCCTCAGCGGCTTTCAGAACTGTTGATTACGACCCCTGCCTGCTAGAATTTCAGGACCAGAAAGGACAGATGAAACACAGAACTCCAAGACTGCACTGAACAGGCGATAAGGAGTTGCAAATGCCCCATCCTCAAAAACAGCAGTCCAGCAAAGCCACTGCGAAGCTGGGTGAAAAGCACATGCACACACACACACACACTGACTGCTGCAAAACAAAGGTGCCAACAACAGCATGGACAACAATAACGACAACAACATCAAGAGAATGCACATCGAAAGATCTACGGTGGCATGACACCGGCGCTGAGACCACCGTGCGACGATTCGCCTGCACTTGTGGAACCCTGCATCCTGAAAAGCCCCAAGACCACTCAAGACCCTCTAAGACACACCTAAGTCCCAAAAAAAAAAAACTTCACCCCCCAGACTCAAGACAGAACCCAACACCCAGAACCACACATGCCTTCGCTCTCGGTTCGCAGTTGCTGCCAGTGCCGACGAAGGCTTCGAATCCCCGCAGCCGTCCTGTCATTCCCGGGTGCGGACTTTTCGGGCCATTTCTAATCCATCCAGATAGATCATCTTTGGCGGCCGAATGCGTAGCACCAACACTTGGAACACATGCACAAATGAACAGCACGACTGAAACAGGCACTCTGCTACATTGTTCTCACACGCGGAATCGACTCTGTGGTCAAGATGCCATGCTTGCGGCTACACTGCTAGACTTAAACTATCTACAATCATCATCAACTCCGGCGGTGCACCCGCTAGGACAGTGAGACGGAGGCCTGGTGCAACAAACGTTATGGAAGCAATTCCTGTAGAATTTCTTCACTACTTTTGTCAGAGAAGTCCGCTCCAAGCGCCGTGGAATCACTCCAAGTTCAGCGTCTCATACGGCAACACCTCCTTACCAGGCCCTTGGCAACACCACTGCCCTTTGGGACCGGAGTAGAAGTACCAAGGATGTCCTCCATCTTCATACTCTTCCCAATACTCTCCGGGTGGTGGCGGTGGTGGCTCTGCTGACTCCGGCTCATCTCCATAGTCCGGCCCCGGCTCGGCCTTCACCGCTGTAGGCTTCGGTGCCTTCTCGGTCCTTTCTGGGAAGGATGGAGGCGACGAAGGCGGGGGCAAAGGCGCCTTCTTCGGGATCGGGCGCACTGGATAAAAGGCTTCGGTGGAGCTGCTAGGAGCGCTGCCACCGCTTGCACCGCGGCTTGGTGTCCCGTCATCAACTTCTGGCCCAGGCCTGGCCGCCCTAGCCCGACCCTGCGGGGCATCCGAGGACAAGTTCGGCCTTCTCGAGCCCGGATGAAACCTTTCCGATCGCCTGCCACGGTCAAAGTGCGGGCCCCTCTTCGGCATGACGCGGATGATGGTATCTTCGCGCTCCTGCTGGATCTGGAATCGCAGCTGCACCTGGTCCTCATGGAACATGTGGACCCTCACTGCATGTAGAATTTCTTGGCGTGAAACGCCTTCGCGATGACCCCAAGTCTCCATCAAGCCCATCAGAGAGAAAGAGCCTTGGTCGCACACCCGGAGACCACGGGGCCGATTGGTCGGATAGCGCCCGAAGGAAGCCAACATCTTCGAAATCCATCGTGTCCGACCGGACTCGCTGAGTGAGTGAGGACTGCGGCTTCTGTCTCGTCGACCACGCATGGCAAGGAGGAATGAAACAGAAGTGTAGGGATCAAATAATCAGCTGCCGAAGGTCTTGAAGGGTGTTAGGCATTAGGGGTACTAGGGGTTCACAGCGCAACTAAGCTCTCAGAGTTTCTTCAATGTTGCCACATAGCTAACGGTCTCCACACTATTCCACTGAAGCGGGAGGTTGGCTGAGTTTCCTGCGGAGCTCATGTTTGGATTTGCCGCTATCAGGCGAACCTGTGCGTTTACTAGAAACTCCTTGCGCGCCGCTTTACAGCTCCGTCCTTATGCTAAACTTCCGCTCTTGCAGAGCGGCGCATGAAGATGACACCACTTGGCTTGAGTGACGTACGCCATGCAAAAGATCCTGCCGCTCATGCTGTGCAGGACCGGACCCTCGCGGCTCCCACGTTCAGACTGTGAAGACTATGCCTATGCCGTGCAACATCTTTGCGATCCTTCAGACGGGATTCGGGATAGCGAGCTCCGGATGTAATCCGAAAAGATCTCTTAGACTCTAAGCTTTAGGCAGCAAGCCGGAGAGTAAGCTCCACGGCCATCTAGAAAGAAGATTTGTCCAGGCTTCAACGAATATCGGGATTATTGGGCTGTGTATCAGAGGCAAGGCAAGGTGCTGCTTTCTTATTCTGCGGGACATTGGGATGTCCTCCGATAGGTTGTTGGAATTCATGAGATTGCAAAGCTAACTAAGCCAACTCCTTGAACTCTTGGTCACCCATACAATACGAACTGCACCACCAGACTGCTGCAGTCCTGGGCTTGCGAACCAACGGCACGTGCACTTCGTCAGCCAGCCCACAAGCCTGTCACAAGTCTAGTACGTGTCGCCTGCTTTTAGGCCCGTGATAGATGCACACTTCGGCCGATCTCATTCCAGCGCGGTCTCCTACACTGTAGTCTGTCCCAAACACTCACGGCCCGCCAGCAGAGCCGCAGCAACCGCCCGGCGAAGCGTCATGGCTCTTTCGCACTGTTCTGATGAGGGAGGCGGACGACGCAGTGGGCCAGCAACTGTGGACAATTCAACGCACGATCACTCACAAGCCTCGCAAAAAAAAAAAACATGCTCATCTGCGAACTCAACCGTCGGCCATGCTCCAGGATCCCTCGTCATTATGGGTGTCGTTTGTTAACGGGCAACAGGCCCTGACGATCTGACTAGAAACTTCTCAGGCTCTCAGGTGCCTCATCATCCGGACGACTGCTGTGTTGGAGTGGCTGTCGGGGAATCTGGGCAAAGCCACGAATTCATTCGGCAACCTCTTCATACCTTTGCCTTTGGATCAGCATGAGTCCAAAATTTCAGAACAGGCTAGGGTGGAGTGCAAGTGGAATGAGCCCATGCACCCACTGAGTCCCAGGCGAGAAACCCTTGCGCATCAACTGTGGCCTTCAGAGTTGCGGCATCTCTCCGCAGTGCGACACGGGAGTCGGTCTCTCGCTGTTCTGGCCTCGTTGCCGCTGACCTGAGGCAGGCCGCGAAACATGAAAACTCCCACAGCTTCCGTTACATTCCCCATGGCCCAGCGGCCCTGTTCTAGCAGACTGCTGATGCCCTTGCAAACCACGTGTCGCATGTCTTCGTCAGTTGAGCTCACGTCGAACATGACAGTCGGGCTGGTACACCAAGAACCACGTTTCCATTCCGTAAGTCTGGAGTCTGCCGCACGACGCCCTTATGTTCATCCCAGGCGCATGGAATCCGACGATGCTGCGGTTCTCCTTGAGCCCTTCGGCGAGGTGACGGCCTCGGGGATTGCAATGTCTGCACGGCCTGGAGCTCCTTTCGACATGGCTCGGCTTAGCCGAGGCACAGCAAGCCAGGGAGAGATCGCAGCGCGAGATGTCCAGGTGCCTCCAAGCAAGCGGCCAAAGACTAAAGAGGCTTCAGCTTCCTTGGGCTTGCTGATGCGAAGGTCGGCTGGAGTGAAGTAACGGCGGAGAGGAAGATGGGCATTGCGGCCGACCTGAGCACCGTGGTCTCCCGGAAGTATTTCACCAGCATCTGGCAGGTCTCCTGCGCTTCAACCGCTCTGGCTGTTTCCGTAGTAGCCTCGTCGCTCACTGCCAGGAGCCTCTGCACCGGACTTGCCCAGCGGGTTCCAGGACAGATTCACGTAGCACAGCCTCCTGCAGTTCGTCGCTTTTCCATCGTGTTGCTTTGTTCACGCTCTGCGTCAGATAGGCTGAAAGGCTAAGTGTCCAGCCCACCACTCTTCTCATTGTCCATGATGCCCTGAATCAGAGCCACAGCTCCCTCGCCTCATGAGTTGCTGTGTCGATTGGAGTCACGACAACCCACACTGCAGGCGTCATCTCGCCCCTTTGAGCATGCCACCGGTGAAGTGATTCCAGTGGAGATCCAACTCCTCGAGATAGTTGAAGCCTAAGCAGCTCGCCAAAGCGAGCCCCGACCGACACTTCGACCCTGAAGGCCGAGCTCCACACGCTTCAGCAGAGGCTGAAAGGCAGCGCCGACGCTGATCGCATTGCAGCTGAGGTCGATCCTGGAGACGCGACATCCCTGCGATTACGCGATTGCAGTGTAAAATGTCCGAGCCTCGTGAGTGATCTGCAGCGGACCAGGTCGTTGAGGAGTTCCAGGCAGGTGTCTGCAGCACACGGAAGACTCGACAACACATATAGAGCGACTACCGATTAAAACACAGGCATGAAAGCACACGCAAGCACCATGTCTGGAAAGGGGTATATTTGACGTGATAGGTCACGACGGATGCTTTGCAAGCAGCTCTTGGACACCGCCAGAGCTACAATACTTGCTGTTGCGACCGCTGCTATTTTCTCAGATGTCCCGTCACTGAGTTCTGCCTCCTGCTCGACGTCAGTGTTTGTTCAATCGCACAATGCTCTGGCAGGGATTTGCCACAGTACACCCTGCTGAGGCGGGAAAACCAAGATTGCCAAGCGGCTGTCCGTGATCTGACAGTCAGACAGGGTCAGGCCTGCAATGCATGATGAGACAAGCTTGCCGCACAGCAGCAGTCTCATCCTATCTCGCACCACGCGCAATGTCGTGGAGCAACCGAGCAGGCTCGCACAGCTCAGGCGCGGACTCCGCAGCTTGTTCAACCGTCGGAACGATCGGCACCAGCCTGACGTAACGTTCGGACAGTGTCGCCATGATCTCCGAAAACCCTTGGCCTGTGCCATGATCCAAATCGTTCTGCGAGAGGTCCACACTCTCCAACTGGCAGGGGACTCATGAAGTGCAGAAAAGATCAGAAAAGAATGGCCGCAGCCAGCTACAGAGGCCGTGCCTCGGAGGGCAGGGCCTCCAAGAGCTGCCTAGGGCCGAGGAAACCGGAGATATTTCAGGCTTCTTGCGTTTCGAGACATTTGCGATTGGGCAGCGAAGACAGCTCAGTCCCATTTTGGGCGCACTCCACTGGAGATTTCAGGAATGTTGAATGTTGGATGCTAAAAGAAATTAGACCGCTCCTGAACTGCTGCTCCCATCCCTTCACACCCATACATCTTGACAAGTTCGGTGCCTACCCACACCCCGAATGTGCTTGAACCCACTGCAGCAAAGGCACCCAGCACCGAAGTCGCTGAGACCGTTGGCGCGGAAGCGTGCCTGTCATGGAACGGTTAGGTGGGTTGGAACAGCCCTTGTGTGCAGAGTGCTCTGGCAAGGAACCAGAGCGATCCTGCCAAGAAGCCTGAAAGCCCTTAAGCGCTGAGCGGTCTATGGGATCCGAAACACATGAAATTTCTTGGCCTCACGCACGTCTGCCGATGATGCCTGCTCCAAGACTGTCGTCGAGTAAGCAGCGGCAGATCTGTGTCGTGCTTCATGCCGCTTGTGACATGTCGGGCAGCCCCCGCAAGTTCGATTCAAAGCTCGCACACTTCCTTTCGTCTGCAAGCCTTGAGGGTGTCATTCATGGCTTCGGCGCGCTCATCCGTCAGAAAGCCGTACCTGAGTCACTGAGTCACTGACGTGCCAGGCGACTTGCCGTCTATTCCGCGTACTCTCGTCAGGTTTGCCGGGAAAGCCTCACAGGTAGCAAGGCCCAGCTGATTGAAGCCTTTAAACGAGGCCGGCGCTCCAGTTGCAGCTTCTCCTCGCCCTGGGCACGGACGATCCCGGTGGTGGCCGGATGCAGCCTCCGGCACTGGCAGAAGCAGCACGCGGAAAGGTTTGACCCGAAGCTCGAGGACTCGAGCCGGCCTAACTCGGCGACACTGGTTCACCAAGTCCTGCATTGCTCTGTCGTGCCTTCGGCTCGAGCGGGAGCGGCTAACGAGAAACTGTGCCGCTCCAGCCTGTCCAACTGCTTCAACGGCGCCTGCACCTGCAGGAGCAGCACCCGCAGGAAACTGACAGGAAAGCTGCTGCAGCTATGGCAAGGAGACACGTTCCGTGGGGCGAGACCACTGCCTCCGCCAGGCCGTCCATGAGCGTTATGGACTTCTGCACCCAATCCTGGCAGCCACAGGCACAGGGCGCACGGAGGTGGGCGTGTCGATCATGAGACGTTGGATGTGCTCAGGTCTCCTGCGGATCGTTGTTCGTCGTTATCCTGACGAGGACTCTAAGCACTGGCTTTGCACAGTCTTGCTCATGTTGGCGGGCGGAAACTGGGCTCCTGGTGGGCACCGGCTCGGGAAGCCGCGGCGAGCCCGGCAGCCGGACCTACGACGGTCAGACAATGTCAGACGGGCAAAGGCTGACCCTTCCTTGACCATATCTTGAGCGGAAATGTCTGGTATGTCTGAGCCATGCGATCCCACCAACCCTGCCTCCTGGACCTTTGCGGCCACGGCAGCCAGCTTCGACTCCCGAGTGGTCACAGGTGACAAGGCCCTCACACGCCTGTGACTGCAAAGGGGCTTCGGAGGCTGCCCGCGGAACTTCAACTTGCAAAGTGCGCGGTCCCTGCCTGGGGAACTCCACCGACCTGTCTGCCCTGAGGCAGCTGTCGAAGAAGCGCGCCTCACGTGGCATGGCAAGGGATGAGCATCGCCTATCAACAGCTTTTCGATGCCTCTCGATCGTGGAAGAGAGAGAGAGAGAGAGAGAGAGAGAGAGAGACTCCATAGCCATATAGTTATGTTATGCCGGATTATGCCAGTGAGGCATGGCAGGGAAGCCTTCCGCAAGCCGAGGCCCAGATCAACAGAAGGCCTGGCAGGCAAAGGTCGACATGCGCTACTGTCAAATTCGTGGGCGGCGTGAACGTCAAAAGAGCGCTGGCTCTGGAACTCTCTGTCAAGAGCGTGCATGTTATCCGTGCGCTTTTTGCCAGCGGCTGTGGAGGGAAGCTTCGCCACCAGAAGAATCAGAACAACGCCTCCGAGCCAGGTGTCCGCACAGGCTGCTGCTCAAGCACGATCATCAAGCTCCGCCAGGTCGGCGAGCCGATCCGAGAAGCTGCGAGTCACGCGGGCGTCCAAGTTGAATCGCCATCGGAGGAACATGGTTGCCCTCTTGAAAGGAGTTCTTGAACTGGGACGTTGCTTCGCAGGTCGAGATCCAGAGACGAGCCGACCTGCTTCCAAGAGGCAGGGGTGTTTCTTGTCGATCCCTTCGGCCAGACGATCATCGAGTTGCTCAAGAACTGCACTCTGGATCACTGATTTCGCGAGAGCCGCGCTTCAGCGAGATGTAGAAGACCTTGCAGAATGCAATCGGGTGCTCCGACAGAAGCGAAGATAATCGAATCAACAACTTGCCACTGCCTGTGCACTGGCACCCAGCGCGACTGAACGTTCTAACTGCGGCATGCATCAGTGAGAAGGCCCAGCCAGTCCCGGATGCAGGCAAGCTGCCCAGATCAGGCCAATGGACGAAAGGAATGGCACTCGCCAAATAGCCGGCAATGCCTTCTGAGACTCGGAAGTTGAAGGGAAAATTTAGCCGAACCCTGGGAGGCAGAACAACATCAGAACCGTCAGGCCGGAGCTGAGCGCCGATCACAGACACGGTGCACACAACCCTTTGAGTTTGAACCGGGAAGCCGGACTGAAAATGAAACCCTACTGGAAGAGCGGCTGGTGGAAATCGCCATGAAAAACCGAGGGTTGGAATGACCATCCCAAGAAAGAAACCTGTAAAAACACAGCAAATCTGCACACACTTCCGAAAAAAGACTGGCGTCACTCATGCCAACAGATGCCACGCCAGCCTGGAAAGGCGAACAAGGCCCAAACCCAAGAGCCATGACTGAACAGGAAAGGTGCCCAAAGGGCCGCCAGTTCCAAGGCTGTTAAGTGTTGTGCCCCGCAAACCAACACGGAATTTTCTCGAAACGGCATGCATTTATGAACAACCCTGCAATATGTCGCTGCAGGCAAACCCTAATCCCGTTCCGGGACAGCGTGTCAGTGCAGTCTGTGCGCCCAACAGAAAGCTTGATGTATAGCAAGCCAACCCCCTTAAGAAAGGGCTGCACACTTTTATGCCCCGGGTGGTCCGGGATGTGCTCTCCGTTCTATGATCGAGACTCATATCCCCAACACACCCTAACACCGGCTGCTTGGCGGCCAGGTCGCTGTGAACATGACCTCAGCTTCATGTGTGGTCCCAAACCGCTTTTTGAATATATATTGCAGGATCGTGGTTTGGGGAACCTGCAAAACCGTATACTGACTGGCCATGTCCGGAAGCGAAAGACAAGTGACTACTTGATGTGATCTGAAAGGCAAACATGAGATGGAAGTGCTGGTCCCAGAGAGCAGATTTGGATTCTGAACATGCGAAGGGGATCAAATTGAAATGCAGACGCAACTTCACAGCGCTACCATGTCAAGCGGCAACATCGGAGGTGACGAGCAATGGCGCGGCTGCCCTGTACGGGGGCTTAAAGCCAGAGCGAGATCAACACAGTCTGATTCCCCATGGACAGAGAGCCAGCCTCATATCTATGGGTGCGTGCTCCGACCAGTACGCATAGGAAGCGGATGCCAAGGAAGCGCAGCTGCCGTGCCTCGACAGACTGGAAGACTTCACTACCATCCGTTCAGAGGCCAAACCTGCTCCCGGTTTAGTCCATGGCAGCCTGTTGTAGATTGCTTCTCGGAAGGTGTAGAAGCATGGCAAATAAACCAGGGGCATGAAGATAAGTGCGTCCTGGGCCAGGTAGCTTCGTCGCTCATGCGAGCTTCGACTGCCATCGGAACATCATCCAGCAGCGATGAGAGCCCTGACCTACGCTTAAAATCTAACTCTGGAGACTCCAAGGCTCCACGCCGATCATGGCAGCCACCATTCTCCACCGCCCCTCCTCGGATGCCCCAAGGCCGAAGGCAACCAGGCATTTTTTTGGAGCCCTCCATCCGTTCATTCATGAAGTTCTGTGATGTTCCTATGGTGGAATCCGAAAGCCATGCGCAGACCGCTGGCTGGATCCCTCGGCGAGGTAGACAAGCCGCGACGAGCTTGCTCAAAACCCTGGTGGGAAACTCTGCCTCAAAGCACAATGGAGGAAGGGACTCGCCGGCACCGAAAGCGCATCCTACTCTGGGATGCACGGGACAGTCAAGGCATCCAAGGCACGTAGAAAAGGTAGGCTGGAGCACCCATGACAGCTCCGAAAGAACCGAAGAGGCAGCTGCGTCTCCAGTCGTGCTCGCGCCTCTCCAAGAGCCGCTGCGTGAGCCCATCGCCCAGCACGTAGCGGCCGGCCAAGGAGCCTCGTTTTTTTGCCAAATAAAAACTCGAAAGCGCCGCGCGGTTTGCTCCTCCGCTCCTTTTTGGGCCCAGCGGCCGCTGGCGTAGGCCAGGCCGCGCCAGGGAAGAAAGGCCATGAGGAAGAAAGAAGCGGACGGACGGACGTGGGTCTGCGCAGCGGCTGTGGCGCCGGGTGCGCGGGGAGGAAGACGTGCTGGGGATGTTTTCTGTGCTCCTTCGGAGATGACGTCTGCATGGGGTGCGCCACCTTTCCCTGTGCCAAATTGCCAAAGGACACGCTGTCTGTGGATGGCAAATCATGCAGCAAAGGTCTGGTTGGCAGGACAGCACTGCGACTGAAGCCTGCAACAATGCCAGCAACACGGCTCATCGTCGACTCGCTCCACCTGCCGATAGGCAAGCGAGGCAATGCTGAACGGCGTGTCGCGGCTCAATAGCCCGTTGTCATGTGTCATGAAGGCAAGGTCTCGGCACCTGTCCGCATGCAACTCAGGCAACAATCTCTGATCTCTAAGATGCCTCCGGTAAAGAGACCCACAAGATTCACAAGACTTCAACAGGTGCCTCTGTCAGCAGTGTCTTCAGGGTCGGTGACAACGCTGCTCGAGGCCTTACCTGAGACGAAAACGATGATTTGAATTAGACCAGGTAAGCTGCCAGAACGAGACATCACAGCCAGGTTCTGACCCTGCCCATTCTGCATATCATCCTTGCTCTGACCCTGCCACTGCCAACTGCCGCAGGTCGATATGATGTGCACAGCCGAGCCACGTCGGCGCCTTGTGCAGACATGCTAAGAGACAATCAAAGAAACATGCAGCAAGCAGCCCCATACATAGAGAAACGCACTGCCGGCTCACGTGGCCTGCTGCCACTTGTTCGTACTTCTCGAACCTGCAGCGACGCAGTTGGGCTTCCTGGTTTGCCTAGCTTAATCACAAATTTCACGAGGTGAGCTGGCCACAAGAGGAAAAGCCGAGGCCTCTTTTCAACTTCGTCGAAAAGATCTGGAGGCTTCAAGCCTCGGCAGCGATAGGTCTCGTTTTGCCAAGTTGTGACCGGCATCCGACCTGGGCTCGGGACGATGGCGCCGCTGCAGAAAGCGGTTCCAGCCCTGTTCTCCTGCAGGCGGACTTTCATGGCTTGTGAGAAGAGCTGATGCAATTGATTGAAAGCCGCCTGTACCGCCTGTGTTGGGGCCGTCCCGGCCAGCCCTCTGCCTGCCGGAAAGATCGGCTCTGTGCAACGCAGCGGCCTATCCTCGCAGATTTGGGGAAGCAACGAGATTTTGAGATGAGAGATGCACCGACTGACGCAATGAGTGAGGCAGTGCGCCGAATGGCGAGGATAAGCACGGTCTGAAACTGGGAAGAGCGAATGGCAAATGATGAAACGGAACCTTCTGCACCCGTTCAGGAACCTCATCTGCACAGCCCAGGCAGACCAGCAAGGTGGAACATATGGAGCATCTGTGTCGTCTGCAGACCATGGGCCACCACTTCGAGACTCCACAAGTACTCAGATGCTGAAAACTTACACAGGGCTTTTTCCGGACCCCCCGCGTGCTCACATGATGCTTGCCTATGACAAACCGAGACAAGTCCAGCAATCAAGAAAAAACCGAGAAGAAGAGGCGCGGAACGGTGAGAGATGGCCAAATAAATGGCCGGGAGACAGATGAGACGGCATTGCCTGTTTCATGTACCCATCACGACGTTTAGTAACTGCAGGGCTGCGCCAACAAGTCGAGCAGCGAGGCGAACTTAAGGAAGCCTTCAACAAAGAAAGAAGCCAAGAGGAGCAGTCTCGCTGAACGTGGCTTTACCCTGCTGTTGGTATCTGGAGATCACAATTGCACTTGCCACACGAACATCAGGCGGACACCATTCTTCATCAGAGTAAAACGCGCAGGTAGCCCAACCTGACTCCCTGACGTGCCTCTGCCGAGGAGGGCTCGCCATCAGCCCTGGCAGCCAAATATCAGCCAGACCACTCCATCGTATTCAATTCCATCCCTTCTATCCCTAGATGAGAACCTTTGTTCTGTCAAACGTGCGTACACATGAAACGTAGTCGCTTGCAGTGCTCACACAGCTTTCGCCACCATGCATTTCGGCCTGCCTAATTCTGGGCAAGGCCATCATGCCGGCCCGGACATGTTTCCTCCCTCCGCAGTGCTAGTTGCCATTGCGCACGCTACATCCCGTAGATTCGCCGCGGATGCTGATGCACGCACGAGTTTCGTCAGGTTCTCGTGAACCCTGCGTTGACTTTTCCTCTGATGGACTGTAGAACTGACATCAACTTGGGACCGCCTGCAAATATCGATCGCTCGGCAAAAAAAATACATGCGCCAGTGATTCAAAAACGCCGGCTGACAACCGCTTGGCACAAACCTTTGCATGCAAGAGCCCTCTAAACTTCAAGTTGCCAAAACCTTCATCGCATCGACAGGATTATCACAGTGTAACGGATGCTTTTTGTTGCATTCATACAACGCAATCAAACCTGAATCGAAACTGTCTCCGCGCATACGGGGCCTGCTGGCGCCTTGCTCCGGGGGCCATGGCTCAGGACATGGGGCCGACAGCAAAGTTAAGAAATTTTGAATCGGCTTTCCACTACGAAGCCTAAACAAACTGCCTGCAAGCATATGTTGACACCCAAAAATTGTCGCATGCCATATTCCAAAGTCATATCCCCTTGTCAGTCTGGTCATGCATCTGCGGAAACGCTCGCTGGAGAACATGAGACAGAACGGCAAGCGGGTGGGAGATCATCTTGGTGGAACAAACTGCTAAGAGCCTTGTTGAATTTTTGTGAAGTATCCAAGCACAGGTGCTCCAAGGGTCTGCGTATGATACAGATAATTGTCATGTCTAAACTCAAACCCAAACCGACAGCCAACTGCGGGTGCTAGTGCTTTGCAAGCGTGCAATGCACGCACTGCAAAGAGCGCGAACAAGAAACTCGGCGCGGCATTCCAGGCAAAAGGAACAGAACTTGCCATCTCCAGCCTAAAAAATAGCTATGCCGCTATGCCAAAGTTGCTTAACCGGCTTATCCTTGCCGCACGTCAGCGCCGTGCTGCCATCCCATCCGATTCGTGTGATGCGCTGCGATCCCAGCATAAGCTGACTGCTTGAACTGTCTGTGTGTTTTCATTGTTCTCTTGTTTGCCGCTTTGTCGACTCATCCGCGAGCGGTGTGGATGACCTAGCTGTGAAACTATCCTCGTTGAACCATGAAACTTAGGGCGTTGACAGCAGGACAACGACTGTGGGCATTTCCTTTGTTGCTGCAATTACACGTTCACGAAACATCTGCTAAGTTGAATGTTTTGAATAACCGTGCTTCCCTCCTTTCTGCTTTGCAGGTGCTTCTGCTGCGCCCAGCTTCCACAATGGAGCAGGCTGAGATCTTGGATTGTTGTCTTGCTTGCCCGATCTTCTGCATGCTGCGGGGTTGTCCAGGTCGCCAGTGCACCAGAATATCGTGTGACATGTGCCAGAAGGCGAGAAGTCCTGAGCAGTCGTGCTTTTTCATTTCTCGGCAATAAGCGGGTCAAGGATTGCCAAGGTTATCAGCAGTGCCTCTTCGGTGCCTGGGTCCGCACTTAACCCCGTCCATGACAGCGGAGTCTCTGCACAAAACATGGATACGAGCACGGAAGCGATAAGTTCAGTGAAACCAGGTTTGCGAATCGATCTGTCGCAACAATGCTAACACTTTGGTAACTCTGAACGTCTTGCCTCAGTCTTGCCTCAGAACCGATCCCCCTGTAAAATCATTGGTATGGCTCCAAGAAACCAGAGCCTCAGGCAGCCGAGTGTCGAATTGTCCGAGACTTCTGACGTGGGCACACGTTGACATATCGGCTGAACAGAGACACAGGGTCTGTGTCAGCCTTGTAGCCACTCTTTGCATCAGCAAGAACCTCCACAGGCATCCCACAATCCTACACTTCGGACCCGGGGCAGTGGAGGTGAGGAGCACCTCTTCAAATCCACCCAGGCCACCGAAAGCCAGCAGCAAATGCCTGGCAAGCGAGGCGAGAAACTCGGGTCACTTGGATGAGGGGAAATGTGAATTTTCACCCTTTGGCCTGAATTTTGGCAATCGCCCCAGCCCCAGTGACTCGCCCCGCTCAGAGGTGCCAATCGAAAGGTCGTAACCTCCCTCCCAGGGGGATTCCTCGGTGCACAACACGTGCGGCGGCAGCATCTGGAAAGAAGTCAGAAGCATCTTCCGAGCTCCGGTCATCGAAGACAGCTTTCAAGCTGCCCGCCAACCTCTTAAGAGAGAGACTTCGAGTCGTCGTCCAGTGTCGACTCATTGGACCAATGCAACCCGGCGTGCCCTGCACTTCGACGGGGCCTTGTTTGGAAGCCCCAGTAGAGTCCCAGCTGCTCTCGAGGCTCCTGGGGGTCCACCGCCCGTCCTGCCAGGAGGCGCAGATGCTCGCTCGCCTCGCTGTCTTTCTTTGCCCTCCCCAGACTTGGAAGCCCGAAAGCCTTGCCGCGCGGCACCGCCGCGGCCTCCGCCACGGCCGCGGCCACGGCCGCGGCCGCGGCTCGAGAGCTCCTTGTCACGGAGCTCTTTGAATTCATGGGCGGGCTTTCATCACAGATGTCTGCGTCCTCATCCAGGCGGACCGTGACCCGCACGTCTGTAGCAATTTCTGAGCCTCCCATGACTGAGAAATACTGAGAGGAGCCTCCCGTGAGATGGACCGGGCCTGCCACCCACACGGGGTCTTCCAAACCGCAGTTGACCCAGCAACCTGAGAGAATCTGCTGAATGCAAGCCTTCGTCGACACACTGCGTGGTGAAGCGCGATGATAACGATCGTGCCGCCAGGGGCTCTTCTTGTTTCCTCATTCCCCTTCATCTTGTTGGCAATGTGGGATATCCAACGACATGCGGTGGGACGGCACATTCCCTTGACCCTTTGGATGGATAAACCGTTAAACGGTTCATTGGCCAAGCAGCCCTTTTGCTCACCCTCGTCGCCATTTGTTTGAGGGCGATTCATCTGCTTCTTTAGCACAACTCCTTCGCAGAGCAATCTGGCCGTCTGGCCACGCAACTCTGTCTACACAGAGTCTATACTGCTATACCTTCCACGGGAACATGCACGTAATCTTGTCGAAGCCTACATCAAGAGCCATTGAGGTGCTCGTTTCTTTCTGTGTGCCTCTTGGGCTTTCCATCATGGCTGCTCCTTCTCGGTATGGAAGGTTCTCATATTTGCGCAGGTGATGCGGTGCATCCAGCGGGGCCAGCAAGCCCACCCACTTGAGGTCCTGCGTGGGAGGCAATGGTGAGATTTCGGGTGAGAGGTGGCCACACGTCACGAAAGAAGCCTGCAAAGCAAACGCAAGAAAGTACTTGTGCATCTGCTTGACAGAATGCAACGGGATCCTTGTGATGAGGTACCAGCTGCTTTCTCAAGTACTGGGGAGTCTCCAGGTACTGCAGGTTCCGTGCGAAGAATGCCATGCTGTTGGACACGCCGTCCTGGCACTTGGGCAATCAGAGTCTTGGTGAAGCGGAATCTGCTGTGCGCACGTGTGTTCACGTGCAACGCATGCTTCCTCTTCGCTCTCCACAGCATCTGTGCGATCCTCGAAGATCACCACCTTGACAGCAGCCAGTGCACTGGTGGCTGTTTCTGTAGCCCAGATCAGATCTTACCGAGCCTCGTCGACGCCGTAGATTGTGAGGGCTCGCGCAATCTGCCCGACGAGGACTGCCTTCAACTCGCCACCTTGCGCGTTTTCCTCAGAAAGTCTTTGCAGGCGCGTGCCCTCCGCACACAAAATAGAAAGTACCGGATGATACCGAAGTAGGCACGGGTGGGTGGCCAAGCATCCACAATGCTGGCGGGCAGTGCGACAGACACCGTGGTAAGCCGGCCGGACTTTGGCCTCGGGCTGTGGTACAAAGTCAGGCAACAGTGCAGCTTTTTCGAAGCACGGCTTCTCGAAATCAGTTTGAACACAGAGCCTTGGCATCCTTGCCGATGCATGAAGTGTGAGCAGCACAAATTTGCTTGCTGCTTGGCTGGTTGGCCTGTTGACCTTGCCTAAACAGTAGCGTGTTCGTCTTGCTCTGCCTGTCACACCGCCGATGTAACACACTCGTTCACAAGCTGTACAAGAGCGGAACTTCTTATAGCAGCGAGCCGTGCGTGGTCAGCTCAGGCAGCTGCACACGTATGCAGAGTACTGATAGTTCGAGAAGCCCTATTGCAGTGGAAATCCTAGTGGCAGGAAACCTGGCTACCGATGAAGACACCCCGCAACGACAGAAGACAGCCATTTGCAAGGCACGGCGACGACCAACCTCCATTTGGACACTCTTTGGCCAGCGTAACGGAATAACAGCAAGACGAATCCCCATGTGGACGACAACAACAGCAACGGCACACAGGCTGCTGTCCTGTGGACAAGGCAAAATATGAAGGGTTCCAAGCGAAAATGGGCAAAACACATTGACACATGCAAAATCGATTTGGGACTGGGCACTCAACCAGGCACTCGATTTGTTGGTGCAGACAGATGATGTATGCCCGGATGTCCACTCTTGAGGCATGTTCTGCCAGATCAATGGTAGGTTAACGAGGTATCTCTACCCGAATTCCTCTCAGACACTGGCTTGAGCATCTGCACAGCGCTGGGCTTGGATGTTGTACCACGGCCTCTGCACCAGGTTCTGGGAATCTGGGCTTTTAATTTTGGGAGCCATTCCGAAGACTCTCAAGGCGGCCTTTGCGACTGAAACATGCTGCTGATCAAGCATCGACTACGTGCACCTCCAACAGAAACCACTCGACTGCAGTTGCAAGGTCCACGGCCTGGACCGGTCTTCGGCTGGCCGCCTGCCTCCTGCCCCTCTGCCCTCTGCCGCCCGGGGCCCTCCTCCCGCTCCTGTGGCTCCGCATCCTGCTTCTCCTGCTTACGCTTCTTGCCGCCCATGGCAGGCAACAGTTGACGACTATGGCATGTAGTGCATGCTGCCTCTAGCATGCTGGATACTATATCACCTGTGTCAAGAAATGCATCGTCCGTCTTAGCCACTAGACATGAGGACACCATAGGTCCCGGCACATCTCTGGCCTCTAAGCTGTGTCTGCGGGAATTCGCGTATCGGTGTAGTGGTTGCGTTGCGTCTTAGTTTGACTTTGATCCATTGCCGGAATACACGTCATGAAGATGCACATGACAAGGCGCGGAAGCACCTCATCGGTACTGCATTCCGACCCCAACGCTAATTATGACTCAATGGACCCCACCATGCCCCTGGCGGGTGTGGCTTGTGTGAAACCTTTTTCACTGAATGCCTTCGCCAGGTCAATGCCGGTGCTCATATTTTAAGCCACGTCAGGCCTCTGTTCAGCCAACGTGCGCAACTGTCTTGCAGCCGGGCATCCAGCCACAAGTGTGAGACGGTAAACGAACTGCTTGAGGGCTTCGTAGCTGGACCGCCATAGAAGCATTGCTGCTCACTCAGGGCTCAGCCGCTACGAGGCTAAATTTTGCTTATGACGAATTCTGACGGCTCAGGCCTTGGATTTCACGGATTCGCGCCTGGGCCGAGGCAACTTCAGAACTCATCCCAAGACATGAATCTATTCCAATCACTATCTACTAGTATCACAGTGTCGGAATGCCTATAGCTCTCCTGCCCAACAGCAAGATACCTGGAAGCTTGGGAGCCCAACCAGATTGGCGCGCCGGCCGCGCAAATGGGCCGCACCTTCACCACGGTCGCGGAGCTGCCTGTGTGCATCGTTGCTCGGTGGGGAAATGTGCAGCTAAGGTGCAAGTGAAAATCGAGGCCAAACCTGTCTGCATCACGCGGCTGCCATTTCCAACCTGGAAGCTCAGTGGCATTGGCCCTCCATACATACAGTAACACGCGGGCAGAAGAGTAGAGCTAGAAACAAAGCGATTGTTGGGTTATGTCTTCCGGGTTTCGGGGTGCCACTGTGCCGAGTTCCTGGCGCACGGGCGGAGCTACCTGTCACACTGCCAGCATGCCACGCACTTGTATGCAAAGATGTCCGTCGGTCGGTCTCTGTCTGTCTCTGTCTGTCTGCCTGTTCTGATTGGTTCTCCGGGGCATTGAGGCCGTGTCAAGCCCTCCGTGCAGAATGGCTCCCGCTGTTTCAGGGCTTGGTATGAAGAGCTGAACAATCAACCGAATCCCCCGAAGAAAGGATCCATAAAAGAGCAGTCGAGCTGAAAAGGATATGGATGCCAGGTATCCGGAATAGTAAAAAGCTACGCATGCACGGTGTGTTCTCCAGGGTTCAGTCTGTCTGGGTCTCTGTGTCTGTCTCTGTGTCTCTGTCTCTGTTTCTCTCTCTGTCTTTCTTTTCTTTCTGAAGGGCCTAGGGGTCGCCGTCCGACCCTCCAATGTTTGATTGAGCGGCTGGCATTGGGGTCCCTCTGACCGCTTCAAAAGAGTACGAAGTCTGCAACAGCCCCCGTGTTGTAAGCCCCCGACCCTTTACACTCTCTCTGTCTCTCTCTTTCTTTCTCTCTCGCTCTGTCTGTCCCTGTCTGTCTGTCTGTCTGTATGTCTGTATCTTGTGCCTACATGTTTTCTCTGCAAAGCTTCCTTGCCAAAAAGACTGTGGGAAGCTGCTGGAGCAGGGCCTGCATCTCAGCGCCGCTCCATCGCCGGCTGCTCGCTGCACCTGGACAGGACTGCATGGACAGAAAATCGGCCTTTGCCGGCTGCAACCAGGCGGCCCAAGCTTCCGGGCGACCTGCAGCTCACTGGAGGCTAGGGCACTAGGGGCGCTAGGGATTGCACGGAAGGACTTTCGAGAAAGCTGCAATTATGGGAGCAGAAAGGTGTCTCTGCTACCAGTACGCACTACAAGACCTCAGCCTGTATCGCAGCGGCAGTCAAACAACGAACCCAGCCAATTTTGCCCAAAACCTTCGCGATTTGACAGCAGCACTCTGGGAATGCGGCGGCGTGCGCGTCGAGGCTGAGGAGGATGGCAAGGACACCACGAGGCTGGGCGATGTGGCACCCGAAATGGGCCTGGCCTCGTAACTGAGAGGCAACATGTGGGTACCCATGCTGCAGCGGCGAAACCCGAAGAGCGGCTCCGTTGCACCGTCCCGAATTCAAAGAGTCTGCAAAGGAGTCTAAAGTCTGAAGGCCTCCCCAGCGCGATCGGAGCCATCCGAGCCTCCAAGCCGGAAAATGGAAGCCGACGAAGCAGCACACGAAACTCAGAGAGAGAGAGAGAGAGAGAGAGAGAGAGAGAGTGAGGCAGGAAGTCAGACGTGCGCCTCGCAGGGATGGATAGCCACGCTCCTGCGAAGGCCATCGAGGCGACTTCCGGAGAGATGAAATTGCTCCGATCGGTCCTGGACCTGCGCTAACTCAAGGGACCTGAGCACTTCGACTTCAAGAGCGCTGTTCTTTTTCAAGGGTCACACTCCGGCTTCAGGACTTCTGGCTCAGACATCACTCTGCGGATTCTGCATCTCTGCTACAGCCGAAGTCACAACCCCGACTGACTGCTTACGTCTGCCTGCACTGCGACCAGACTCGGCTCCCCCGCGGCGTCGCATGGGCCCGGGCTGCTCGGAGTTCACCAGGCAAGCCCTGCGAGGCGCAGGCAGGAAACCCCCTTGTGTACTTCGACAGTCCGAGCCAGGGGGCTTCCGCAGCGCGCTCTCTCGGCCCTCTCCTTGCCTGGATGTGCGGATGGGGTCTTTGCGTCCCTGGCGCCCTGGCGATACTGTTGGTTAAAATTTCCGTTGAAAAGGGATGGAGCTGGAAGGGATAAGGACCTAAGGACACGGTCGAACACGCCTTGCCCAAGCGACTGATGCATCTCCCACCAGTGTTCATGAATTTCAGTGAACTGCAGGCTCTGCAACGGCTTGCTGTGGCCTCGGAGGTCTCTCGATGGGCGGTGGTGCCAAGTTCATCTCAGGGGCGGAGGAAGCTTCTCAGACATGTGGATTCCAATGTCCCGGCGTCTCCGCCCCCAGGCCTCATGCTGCAGCCCAGGCATGCCAGAAGTCCGCGAACCGACGAGGCTTAAGTGGGTGTGCTCTTTGAGCATTGCGTCTATGAATCTGTGGCTCAGACCCAGGACGTGCTCAACTGAAAATTTGCATGTCGGGCCGAATCAGTCGTGGGCGCGCATGGGGCTGAAGTCTCTCTGGATGGTGGAGCTCGAGACTCATGGCTGTTGATTGATGTCAACCCTGGCACGGAACGGAAGCAGCAGAAGCAAACAAGGCACGGTTCTGCAATCCCTGAAGAACCCTTGACTGCAAATCGCCAGGAACAAGAAACATCCCGAATCAACCCGTCACCCTAAACAATCCCAGACTTCACGCTCCTTCCGACACAAAGCCAGTTTTTTTGTCAAATGGAACCGCTGCTTTGAAACGGATGGGGCACCAGAAGGTCCCACCATCTTGCGGACGGCCCCCAAAGGCATTAACCCCCCTGCACATCCTGCACTGAGTCTCCCCTGTTCGAGTACGATGGACTGAGCCCTGGGACAAAGGCTACCTGACCAACGGCTAACCATTGGATCGCTGACATCTGTGCTTCTACGACTGAGGATGCGCCTCTCAAGCTTCATGCTTCGTCCATGCTCTGTCGCATCAGAAGCGCATGTGCGAAGGACGTCTCCTTCAAAGCAGCCGCAAACAAACGGCGTGTGGTTCAAAGATGCGCGCAGGGATTTGGCCTGTGATGTCGTTTTTCTCTCGGAGAAGCCCTTGCCATCGTGCCGCCAACTCCCTGTTGGAGTAGTTCCCAGGCTCTCTCGATAAAAGCTTGTTTCATCCAACGCCTGCTGTACACGTCATGTCTGGGCACCACGTGATGATCATCGCCGCCTGGCCCTGAGCACTGCTACATTGCAACCAAATCGTCGCTAAGTGCTGTGGCTTCGGTCCTGGGTCTTTGCCCTATGCGCAGAGGAGGACAGGTGTCATGGAGCTCAGGGCAACGGCTGTAGGATCCGGGAATGTCTCACTGAGCACGACGCCTCAAAGCGAGTAGCGGTTTCAAACCCCGGTTCAAACTTAGAACGACTGCACCTCACACGGCATAACTTTAAAAGATGTCTGTGACTGTAATCTGAGCTTTGCCGTGTGCGCCATGCATACCGAGGTGCTTGGTTAAGTCTTGCATGGCAAAGCTTTGGCCTGCAAAATGCGCGGGACTCTACGTGCGGCTTCAATCAGCATCGAATCATCGGCATTGCTCGAGTCATCTTGAAACCGGGAAAGATTCCTGGCATTTCCGCTTGTCTCCACAGATACTCTAGCTTTACACCGTCTTATCGATCTCCTTTACCCGCGAAGAGAAGACAACAAGCGCCCAGGCAACGAAACCTGTGACTATTTTAACAGCGATAAGGTGGCACATGACAGTGCACAGCATGAATCTTTACAGCGAAGCGACAGTCCAGAAGCAAAGGCAAGTATGCAAGAACACTTTCGTTGACAACAGTACAGGCTTGGAAACTGTGTCTGCAGAAATCATGCTCTTGCCTTCGCACTGTGAGCCGTCTGCGTGCAACTCAGTTTACTGCTCGCAAGCGGGGTCCAAACTCAAATGCTGGGGCCTCCTGCTCTGGGGCAAACCCAATCTGCTGGCATCGAGGGCACTTATGGCCACCCGCCTGTCCTCTGCCCGTCTCGCCAAGAGTCCAAGAGAAGAATCAAAAGAAGTGCGCTGTCTTCAATGCAGCCAGTCGAGCCGGGCAACGGCAGTGTCGCAACAATGGTTTACACATGCAATAATGATCATGCACGGCCCGTGCTACCCACACGAAGTGAAGATGGGCTCGCATGCACAATCGGCTCCCCTCTTACCTGATCCGGGATGCAAGACACGAAGGGCATCGCATCCCAAAGCCATTCTGTGCAAGTGCTTAACTTTGACAAAGTGGGATGTTTCTGCACTTCCGGACATCGTCCTGTGGAGAAGCATCACAATCCTCGGTCAGGCGAACATGAAGGCTTCGTCACACAGCGCACATGGACATTATGTCAGAGGCCGTTTCGACTTCACGGCGCCTGTGCCTGAATCCTTTGTGCTAAATGCATTTCACCACACAGCGAGCCACTGACGGCCAAGGCACGATCTGGGATGCTGCATTCACAATACACACCTTTGTACTTGCCTCAGGGCAGAGAAACACATCTGCTGCGCAAGAGACTACGGCACTCTGCTAAACCGACGTGTACTTATCACAAACAGGACATCTCCGACCGGTCGAGGTCCAAGAGTCCTAGACTGCCCAGACCTGACCCCCAAAATGCTGAGTGCTTATGCCAACAGAAGTTTGCAGGTTACCCTATCTACGCAACTACACACGCGTCGCGCGGGCGCAAGAGAAAGACTAAAAGCAGGGGAGGGAAAGCAGTGGGCAGGGCTTCGAAACAAAAAGTTGCAGAGAATCTCAGGATCACTTCCAATCCGGATCAGGCCTGCTTTGTCGCCCGGGCAGCCGCGAGTGGCACCATACCCTGGGAGTCAGACTTCTGCGCTTTCGGGTAGATGTTTACCCACACATCATATAGACACATACCGCTGAAAAACTAAAAGTCTTCAGATGGATGGATGGATGGATGGATGGATGGATGGATGGATGGATGGATGGATAGATTTGTATGTAAATAGACGGACAGATATATAGACAGAAAGATTCACAGACAGACCGACCGACCGACAAACAGACATAGACAGACAGAGTGTGTGTGCGTGCGCATACCGCTATACATACATATATACAGTCAAAAACATGTGTATATGTGTCAATGTATGTAGACATGGTCACACACACACACACAAATCGGTCCCGGCCAGGATCTGCACCTCCCTTCTTCCCAACTCTTCCTCCAAGGTCACCGGTCTTTCCAACGTTCGACGTAGCTGTGGAAGCATTGTTTAGTCATTAGTTTACAGCAGTTGCTGTATTTCGCAAATGCGTTCATACCTTTCTTTGCTGATGTGTCTCAGGGAAAAACAACACTGCGGCTTATTTGCGATCTGCCACTGGTTCTGCATGATGAGAACTGGTGAAGCATCTGTGAATAAATCTAATCGCTGTTCGTCGACTCGCAAGACATGGGAAAGCTTTTCTTTAAGTGAAAACTGGTCTTTCAGAAGGAAACATAAGAAAGCTTCTGAATTCCCTGAGGATCAGAAGTCAGAGAGTTCCTAGATCTTCCCCCGTAGAACAAGACCAGCAATCCTTGCCCCAATCAAACACCGCGTTCGGATATCTGAGCAATTTGGGAGACAAATCGAAGTATATCTCAAATTATTCGGTCATAGGCGGTCATAAACAACAGTATCCGAAATCTTTATTGGTATCTGCCCGTCGCTAAATATGATAACTCGTTGCATGAAAAGAGACGCCAGACTGTTCCTGTTTCATCTACTACAAGAAGGAAGTAACGAAGTGTCTTTCATCGCTTTCAACAAGTAAGAATAAGACAACAACCTTGTCGTCGTTTATTAAACATGTGAAGCAGGCCTAAATCTCGCTGTGTTTACAAGCAGCTGATCTTAAATCAGGAAGCAGATGTGGAGCTCCCCTGACTTTTTCATTTCAAGCCGAACAGATTGTCTTGTCTTAGCAAGACACAGCAGAACTCCCTGTTCGTTAAAGGCAAGACTTCAAGACCTATGTCTCTCTCCAAGAAGCAAGAGCAAGAGCAACAAACCCCCTACGTCCACAGGGCCACTGGAGTCGAAGTCAGAATGCACAGACAATCAAACTGTTCCCCGCTGACGCAAACGCGAACCCACCCACCCACCCACCCACCCACCCACCCACCCACAGGGGAGTAGCGAGTTACCAGACCATGAAGTGGGGAGGGAGGCGGGGCTTTTCCCTATTGTTGGGGTGCAGAACAACACAACCTCGCTTGTCCTTCACTTCAGAACGTTGCTCTTCCACAGCTTAGCCGGAAGTGCAGTAGCATGCGTCTTCGTAGCAACAAACAAAAGAGCTCCTCATCTCGTTTCAAAGCGTACCTTCTTGTATAACAACGGGTACGAAGTCTCGTTGTTGTCCAAAACGGATAGGAACACGGCCTTATCCCAAACAGCAAATGCAGTACCAAGAGAGTTCCTCTACCGTGTGCCACGAACTATGACAGCCTCCCCTCCCAGTGAGGAATAGACATGAAAAGTTTTCAGCTTTCCCTTCTTCAATCAAGAAGAAACGGTGCGAGCTTTCGCTATCTCTGTACAGGGTACGAATGCAGCTTTGGTAGGACTTTCCATGTATTGAAAACTAAGATTTCGCACTTCCTTAAATTATATGTTGACCGCGCAAGCTTTTTGCAGCAGCAGATATGCGGATTTGTGTATGCGTTAACCATGCAAACGTTTTCGTATCTCAAGCTTGCCAGAATGCTGCCGGACTAGAATTACATAAAAATCTCCGGAGAGTAAAATGCAGAACTTCGGCACACCCAAAATTACCTGAATCTGCGGGACCATCGCTTTGCAGGTTTTGGGTGGTCTGAGGTATTTCGGGTAGTGTTTTGCCTGACCGATGTTATCGCTTTGCAACCCATCTCTCACGCCAAGATCGGGCGATAGGAGGATTTCTAGCGGACAGATCTATCTAGCAGGAGCCGCAATCCCTCTCAACGCTTGACTCGCAAGATCGCAAACTAAAAACTAATTAGCAGAAGTTAAATGCTGACACAATGTAGGGCTCATCATGTAGAGGTGGAAGAAACATTGGTAGTAGCGATTACAGTGTACGCGGTTCGCATCCGAGCAATGTGTCCCGGAATGCCAGACAAACAAACCCATTCTTTACAAACTGCAAAATTCAGAAATCTCGAATCACGAATGTCTGCGTTTCCACAAGTCCACTCTCGAACAATCCATATTCCAAAATTAACAATCCAGAGTTCCAAACTCCAGAAATCCAACAATCCAAATTCCATGATGCCGAACTTCACAAGCCCGAAAACACTTCAACACAGGACAGGAACGAACTTCACGAGCGAGGGTGTGTGTGTGTGTGTGCTTGTTTTGGTGGAGGAAGAATGTCGTCGTGCACAACCTTATTGATACATGTATGTTATGGTGATATAGACTTTCTACGTTATCTTAGCCAAAAAAAACTTTTGCTTTGTGTTCCGATGCGTTCGGTATGCCTGCTGCACGGCACCCTATACAGCACCAGAGAAGTACTGTGGATGCTGGAGCATGTGATATTGCTCTGCATTTCACTCCCAGGCCTTCGCCGATAAGCCCGAACATCATGGGATTGCCTTGTGAGTGCTTAGATTTTTGGGCTGTTGAGGCCGTCCTTGACATGGAGTTTCATATGATGTGAGCAGTGTTGGTGCACTTCTGGAACGATGCCGCACTTGTCTGGCTGCTGGACAGATCTAACCACTAGTGTCCCCCTGATCCATCCCAGCTCTCGACAGGTCTCCCTTCTGAGCAAAGAGACGGACGGCAGGCCCAGCACCGCGGTGGCAGTAGACGTCACAGCTTGCGTTGTACTTCTGAATGTAAGCCTCCTGGGCTCGACAAGGGCTCACGCGCTTGCCGCAGCTGCAAGCTTTCGATCCGAGAGCTTGCAATGTGACAACCGATGTCTCCCCAATCTCTCCCATGCCAGGAATCATTTTGCACAAGGACCATGCCAGCAGAACACACGGCCACTAAGTCCGGCCACTGTTCGGTCTGGCGGGCCTCACAGCGAGCTCGCGATTGAGTCAGCCGTATATCGCGGCCACAGCATAGGCCCGTTCGTTTTCTCCGTCCTACCACTTGCTTCGAAGTTGCCTTTGCCAAAGGGTGTGCAAAGGGCTGCTGGCAGCTCCAGCCTGCAGTCGAAGCAGGGAGTTGGTACGAGCACGTTACGACGCGGGATAAGAAGTAGCGTGCCGACATGTTTGGATCACGACATGACATGCGCATGACACTTCAATTCGATGACTCTCTTCCCGTGTTTGCCACGAGGCACGATCTTGCTCCACGTACTAAGCATGGCATAACGATTCGAAGTCTTCTTAAGCTCGGTTGCTAAGGACATGCAAGAACAGCTAAAGCTGCTCTCCCAGTGCCTGTTCCAGGAGAGCAGCTCGCCCGGCAGTAGGCTACCCCATCATGCTGCCTGAGCCGTGTCACAAACCCGAGGTTGATTGCAGTCTTTTCGGCCCCGCACAGCCCACCTGCTTCATTCTGCAGATGAACTTCCCGATGCAGCTTGACCCAGTTGTGGAAATGAGCTCTTGAACGCACGTCTTCTCCCCATGCAGACAAGCGGCTGGAAGCATCGATCGAACATCTGTGCACAGCAGCCTGCCTGCTGGCAGGATCTTCCAGACCTTGTCGCGGAGGCAGTCGACGGACAACGCGAAGTTGAAATCTTCCAAAAATTGACGAGAACTTCCGAAACAAGCCCTAAATCCCGGATCTCCGCCCAGAGGCATGGAGCAGCGTGGACGGCCTGCGTCGCAAGAACATCCCGGGAAGTTAAAGCCGCATAGTGCCACCCTGAAACCGCAGTTGACACAGTACATTGCAGCACTGGCGCCTTGTTCTGTCAGCCGCCGCATTGCCAAATCATCATGGTGCCAGCAAAGCAGCGCTACGACAGCTCCAAACACGAGCCTCGGCGCAGAACTGGTTGAATGCAGACTCCGGAGGCTGCAATGTATCCGTGCCCTTTGTTCGTCATTCCGTTCTGGCAAACACTAGGAGGGCAGGATCACCGAAGGCTTACTCTGCTCTGTTTCTGGCTCTTGGGGACCGCAGGACCTGGCCCTCATTCTTCATTGTCGAGTGGGGGAGGGGAGGGCAATGCCTAGTCAGTGCTGCTTGAGCATCCGCCATACTCCCGCAGCGAGCACAACAAGCTTAGCTCAGACTTGCTGGCTGGCAACGCAGCAGCAGCGAGCACTGTCAGTCGGTTCATGGTCCCGTGGCAGAACCTCGGGAGGAGGCGTTTCGTGCTGCCACAGGCTTTACTTCACTGCACCCCTCGCAAAGAGATACTCTGCCTATCCGACAACTTGCTGCAGCTGCTGCGAGACGTGAAATGGCTGCAGCTACTTGTAGCAGCCGAAGCATCGCAGCTAGCTCTCAAACAGGTTGGGTCTGGGATGGTCTGGAGGTCTGGCACCGAGCAGCAGGAACCAAGCACTCTCTGCTGCACGAACGCGGCGCCGGCTGCGTCTGATTTGGGCAGAATCGGCTGCGGGTGCAAGGAAACGAGGTTCGGAAGGGAGGTGAGCCTGTTCATAAGACGGTGCCTGATGGACGGGATTCGCTCCTCTGACAGCAGCCAGGTGCGGATGGAGTGGCAGTGGAGACCTTAGAACCCAAGGACAGGATGTTGAAGTACGTGCATGGTTCACGGCCAGATGAGGGGCGATAGTCCGCCTTTCCCGTTTCTTTGGCAATCCTGTCCAGAATGCGCAAGAGCAAGGCTTGATGGACTCTTCATGCTGTCGAAGAACGGTCAGAGAAAGGAAGTCGGAGCCCAACAAGAGATCTGCCACCGCTCTGCCTATAGTCCTCGAAGATCTGTACGCCGTCCTTCTCACGCGTCCGCGGGTGCGCGTTCCTGGCAAGAGAGCTCTCCGATCCCAAACGCCCCCTTCCCTGTTGGCTCAGCGCTGGGGCGAGGAAGCACTTGCCGGCTTGGCCAGGGCATGGAGCCCAGAGATTCGCGGCCGGTGGAGCCGCCGATGAAGATCTGAGCGGACTAGTTTGAACAGTCTTTGGAGAAATCACAGGCTGACAGGTCCAAGCCAATGAGCACCGCCCGCTTAGCCTCCACATGGGAGATCCGCCCGGACGGCGCCCCATCCACGTCGAGCTCCTCAAGTGTCAACGTGCTGCAGCATTGTCTTGCCCTGAGGAATGAGTTCACTCATGGACACCACAGATCTCTGCCTCGTGAAAGATGAGGTCCCCGGGTTCGCAGTCGGCTGGATCCTTGTCAAGCGGCCGCAGAGCTGACAGAGCCAATTGGAGAGTCGGCTGCCTCAAAAGAGATGGGCAGCGTGGCGCGGCAGTGCCTCAGACGGCAGAGTGGAAGAAATGACAAGCCCGCCATGTCGCATCCTACGCCTTGCGACGCTTCTTTGCATGCGAGCATCACAGGCTTGCAGTTCGAAATCAGCAAGAAGCCAAACTCCTGCATTTGGAAGAAAATAGCAGGAATCAAGCAGAATCGCTTTCCGCTCTTCCGTTGTGTCTGCTTGTGGAAGCGTTTCTTGGAAGCCTGTCCTGCTTGAGGTCCTCGATCACCTTCAAGTTGCAAAAGGCCATCTCTCGGCTCTACCAGCAAAGGGATCCCAAGGGGTCACCCAAGTATAGACGGTATAGAATGGATAGGGGCATGTACGATTTCTTTTCCCCCCGTGCACGCCTTCTGCACAAGTTGGATGTTGTCCAGAAAGAGGGGCGCATCCTTCAGCTTGCTACCGGGCTTGCACCTGGCTGCTTTGGATTGAAGCTTGATCACCGGAGCGAACTCTCTCAATCACTGGGCGCAACACTTCCCACTGGAAGGATCGTGGTAGCTTCGGTGATAAGGGATGCCGACCTAGCCGTCTTTGGTAAGGATTTCCGTCCGAGATGCCAATGGCAGCGTGTCGTTTCAACAACTCTGGTGGGGCCGAGTGACGTATTTGAGCGCAGCATCCACGAACCTGCGTCGGAAGAAGCACAAGCACTTCTTGACTCATCTTCCCTCCGGCTTCGTCTTCTTGCTTCGGTGTTCTGCGGTCTTGGTGCTGGTCGGTTGCTTTCTGCTCGAGCAAACCAATGCGACGAGCCGAAAGCTCCCATGCGCCTCTGCCTCAAGGCCTTGGCTGCCTCCGGAACCTGGCGCTGATAGGCCGCGTTCACCTGGCGGTTGGTCTGAGAGCTGAGCCTTTCCTGCCCGCTCCCATCCTCTCCCCTCCTGCCTCGGCACAGTGGTGCTCGAGAGCCTTGCCGATGCGCGGGCAGGTTGTCTCTCTAGGTTGATTACACTCACTAACAAGCGACAAGAAGCATGCCACACCCTTTCCTTGCCTTGCCGAAAGGCCACTGCGCCTCGGCCCAACCGCTCTAGCTGAAGTCCACACAGTCCCCTGCCTCGGTTTCCTCACTGTGTCTCACACACACACACAGCTCTGACTGTTTTCAATTGGGAGCATTGACGAACTGACTACGAGAAGAAATCGTTTCCGGAATGCTGGACCACAACTCAGGCACTTGGTCAAAAAGACTTACTGTCTGTGTCTGTGACTCCTTGGAGCTCCCTAAGAGGATCACATGCACCCGCCACAGCTGGTGACCGGAAGCAAAGGGGAGAGACGTTGCACGCGCGGCTGCGCACGTAGCAGAGTGAGGAACTTCCGGCACAAGCGATGCATGCTCTCTACGTCAACTGTCAGCAAAAGGGTCGCATTCATAGAGTCACACCTGTCCGACACAGCGTCGCAAACGGGCACAGTAGCATCCGTAGAACTGTGATGGGGAAGAGTCCACGCGCAGCATGGGAGACTTCGGTAAACAGGTGACTTCCCAGTGCGGCCTTCTCCGCCTCGTCATCAGGAAGCCGCTCTATCAGCTGCGTCTTCAGGCCCACCTGGGTGAAATCACCGTGAGTCCATGCAATCCCAAGCGGCATAAGCACCTGTGTGCCATCAATGAGGATGTAGGCCGCCGAGGGAACAGCCGCCTTCGACTCTTGCTCAAAGATTCGACTAAGTCCATACTTAAGCTTCTGCTCGCCCTGCCTTGCTGGCAGCACCAGCCCCGATATCCTGTGCAGAGCAGTGCTTTTTGATTGGCGGCCAAAGTGGCTTGAAGTGACTGGACATGAGGGACCACTGCCGACCTGCCTCACCGTCCTCCGTCACACCTGGAGACTATACACTACGGTCTTTCGCGTTGTTAACACAGCAAGCAAAGGC